TGATACCTCAATGTTGAATCAATGTTGAAATTAAGTTGAATTTGAAAATTGAATTAACGTTGATATATCAATTAGGCTATCAGGATATTTGATTGAAATTTGCCTGATGGCTGAAGGTGTTCTCCAAGATATCAAGCATTTCTTGAAATAAAAAGACTCAGAGCTGAAAAGGGGGGAAATAAGGAAAATTACCTACAAAAAAGGTAATTTCGAAAGAAAAGGGGGGGGGGGTCCAGACCCCGGGACCGGCCCCTGTATCCACCTATGGGTCGTCAGATTCTTTTTTAACTTTCCAGTTTGATGCTCAATGTTACGGACCAAAACAGCCCGAACATAAAAAAACACAAACAACAACTAATTTAACCATGAATATAATATATTACAAACAATGAACATACACTAACTACATGTAATACTATCATGTTTCATAAACTTTAACATTTGTCAAATACAGTTAAATTCTAACAGATATGTAGACAGTTAAGTTTTGAAGACGCAATGTCACAGTTTTAAGAGTCCTTTTCTGTTAAACGTTCCTCCTCATAGTGTGGGGTTTTGAAGACGCAATGTCACCGTTTTCCATGTCCCTATCTGTTGAACGATCCTCCTGATAGTGTGTAGTTTTGAAGACGCAATGTCACCGTTTTCCATGTCCTTATCTGTTGAACGATCCTCCTGATAGTGTGGCCTCACAAAGTACTGTAAATAAAGTACAGTTTTTGTACTGTAAAAGTGTTACACACTGTCCACACTCACGTGTTGCATCAGTTCATGTTATCCGGAGTCTTGCACTTTATTTACATTATACAAGTATGCAGGCACATACGGTAATTACCCATAAAAATTAAACAACAAATTAGCTTTACTAAAATAATCAGGTTGTTAAGATAATTTTAAGAATACAAAAACAAAGGGTCACCAGTCTCATTTTTTCTCACAGCTAACTTAAATTTCCAGAAAAACAGGCATTTTTGGCTTTTTCAAGCTTTTTCTTCAACCTTGAGTAAATTTTGTCAATTTGCCATAAGGTAAGGCTGGTGACCCTATGTTTTTTTTTCTTTTTCTTAAAGATAACCTGAACATGAAATCTGGAAAGTTTTTAAAAAAATGAAGACCGCTTTTTTCACTAAATTAATTTTAATGAAAAAGGGGTAAAACAAGCGTTTTATGGGGGGTAATTACCCCTATGCATACCTCTCTAGTGAGATAATCATTTAAAACTATTATCAAGGTTATGATTAAGGTTATAAATAAAGTTAAGGTTGACCCAATGTTGAGATCCAGTTGATATGTCAACATTTACAAAGAGTTTACAAACACAGGTTGATTCAATGTTGAAATCCTTTTGATCTATCAACATTGAAAATTGATTGACAAAGAAAGGTTAAATCAATGTTGAGACCCTGTTGATCTATCAACATTGACAATGGGTTGACAAGAAAAGTTTGATTCAATGTTGAAATCCTGTTGATCTATCAACATTGAAAATTGATTGACAAAGAAAGGTTAAATCAATGTTGAGACCCTGTTGATCTATCAACATTGACAATTGGTTGACAAGAAAAGGTTGATTCGATGTTGAGATCTTGTTGATCTATCAATATTGATGGATCAACATCATCTCAACCTATCCTCAATGTTGAATCAACGTTGAGTGCCTGCTGGGTTTTGGCCTTGAATTTTCCTTCCCTTATATCTCTAAAACTGGCACAGATATGCCCATTGATACTACTGAACCTGAATGGGAATTCATATATTGACAGTCTTCTTGTGACTTTGAATTTGACCTTTGACCTCCTTTTCGCCATGAAATGCACATCACAAATTTGGATTTGACCTTTTACTTTTCCCCATGATTTTGTTATAAATTGTAGTTTTCAACATTAAAAAATCGAGACCTCTTGTTAACTACAATTTGTGGAGCTTGTCAAGTACAACACTGGAGGTGGTGTCCCCCTTTTTTTGCTTTCCTGCAAATGCGCTGCAAATGTCGTTTGTCTGCTGGGTAGGTTGTTTTTGAAAATTGGCATGATATCGGTTTATATTAATCATAATTATTCTGTTTTTTTATTGTTTGAATATTTTACACATTATAACCATAGTACTTTTTATGGGCTATGAAACTGAATCCTTTGGTAGTTTTTCACTGTCCATGTTACCTGCAGTATGTAATATAAGAGGGTAAGAGCGATTGTGCTGTTTTAAAGTATTATGTAATAGTGTATCAAAATTGGCCAAAACAGTATTTGGTGCACTTTTGTGAGTCTGAATGTCTAAACATTTGTCAGCCTTGCTGCCTTGTTTCCATTATGGTGTCTGTATATTTGTCATCTTTGCTGTCTAGTTTAATATTACCAGCAATAACTCTAGTTAATCCATGTGCATGTGGTATCCAGGGCAATATCTTGTCTTTCAAAGGTCAGTGATCTATATCACTATATTGTCTGTAGAAAGTCTTAGACAAAGCACTGCATGCATGCTCAGACATTGGAATGTGCCTGTCCATAAACCCTATGAACCTGTGCATAAGTCATATGTGCCTTTGCATAAACCTTATGTGCTTGGACATTTATTTTTCTATTCTTCTACATTTACTTCTAGATTTACCAAGCGTAATAAGTGGAGACAAGATAGGATTCCTAGATCCACATGAAAAATTCTTTGGTCCCAGGGCGACAGGGAAGCAATGGCATCTTGAAAATGATAGGGAAGAAATCACTTCTTTGCCTGATCAGTTTGAACCATTTGTGGGAATTTTTGGTGGCCGTGACATAACATTCAATGGTGGAGTTCATAAGGGAACACTGTTTCGCTTTCCACTCAGGACAGGTTCACAAGATCCCTCTCAATTCTGTTCACAATTGTCAGAGCAGATATATGCATCACAAAAAATTGATAGTTTGTTCAAATCTTTCATGACATGTGCATATATGAACCTTTTGTTTTTGTCATCACTGGAAAGCATTGAATTGTATGAAAGAACAGAAGGAAGTGAGAAACCAGAGTTAATCTTCCAGTTGGAGATAGATAAAGACTGCATCAAAGGTGTGAGATCAAAGCGTGAAGAGTTTTTGTCAGAAATTGCTAAGGTGCGACAAACCAATGAGTGGCCAGAAAAACCAATTCAGTCAACGTATGAGCTCCAATTCACAGAGACGACATATATCCACCAATCAGCTGCCTCCACACCTACCCCCTCAAAGAAGGCCAAAAAGTCTGTTGACAAAACTTCCAAGATGACCAAATGGATGCTCACAAACCACTTTTCTGGAGGCCAAGTGAGTTCACAGTTACAAGAACTGGCAAATGATTCAAAACTGGGTTTCCTTCCGTGGGTGGCTGTTGCTATGTGTTGTGGCACAAAGGACGAACCATTTCAACAAGTCAAACAGAAGTCCCAACAACCGAACGGCCACTTCTTCTGTTTCCTACCACTCCCACTTGAAGAAAAAAGTGTGACTGGTCTACCAGTTCACATCAGCGGGTTCTTTGCACTCAGCCAAAATCGCAGACAGCTGAAATGGCCCACTGCAGACCAAGAAAGGTCTGCCCTCACTGATAAGGCACTTCTGTGGAACATCTGCTTGGTGGAAGAAGCAGTTTCAGTGGCATATGCAGAACTCCTAAATTGTGCCATTCTCGAGGGCTTTTCACCAACATGCATTTATAATGCAATGCCAGACTGCAGTTTAACTGATCCCAAATTTGAAAAAATGGTCACACTTATGTACAGAGTGACTCTAAGGAGGCAATCATTTTTTGGCCCAACAACTGACACCTCTTTCTCTGCCAGTAGATGGCACAATGCCAGTGAAGTCTTGTTCAATGATTTAAGCCCTAACATAGACAATGTTGAGGATCTTGTGAGTGTTCTCATGCAAAGTGGCGAAAGGATTTGCACTGTCCCATCACATGTAGAAGAAGCATTACAAAAGCATGAAGTGAAAATTTCTAAGATTCAGCCAGGACATGTGCGCACTGCTCTAAAGAAACCAAATGTGTCAACCTGGGTAGACAGCCTCTCATTTGTCAACAAGATGTCTATCCTGAAGTACATCCTCTCTGATTCATCCTATGGTGATATAATTGGGATCAAACTTTTGCCCCGAAGCGACCAAATTGTTAGGTTCCAGTCCAGTGCAAGTGATGCAGTGTATATTCCAACCAAGGATCATCCAAAAGAGCTTCTTCCCGGGCTGACCCACAGCTTATTGGAGACTGAGAGAGTTCCATCTGAGGTTGCCGCACACCTGGAAAAGATGGCAACTTTAGGTATAACTATTAAAGTTCTAAACAGCAATTAAAATATGCTAATAGGCAAGTTCAATTGAATGGAAAACAATGTTTGGATTACGTTACCTTTTTCAGAAACAAATCTGGTCATTAAAGCAATTTTTTCAGATTTTATATACAGATTCATAAATATCAATACATGTTCTGCTCTGCTGTGACATAAGTGAATGGTTACACTGTCACTGTCACCATAGAAAATGGCAGTTAACTCTGCAGAAAATAAGATTTTATAGATGTCTCGATGTGCCAATTATGCATGCTGTCATTCATATTGTTAATCTTTCATGACATTAATATATATTATTAATGAAATACAATTTTAATAAAAAAAACTTCAATTAAAAAAGAGAAAATTTCATTTTTGTTTCACTTTAGGATTAACCCAGTTGAAAATTCTAGACAAGACTTCAATGGCTGAATTGATCAGAAGACTCTTCGACCCCTGCAGAGACAACACCAAGGACTGGGATCAACACACCACCAACCATCCTACTCATGGCTGGCTTCAGATGGCGTGGGAGTACCTGACCCGTCAATTCCCTGACAATCTCTCCAGGTTTGAAGACTTGCACATTCTTCTTGATCTGGCTTCTTGTAGAATTGTGAAGCTGAGTTCTGGCTTACCTGCCTTGATAACTTGTTGGAAAGGGGGCAGACTTGATGATGGTTTAGCTAAGTGGCTTAAAGCTTTGGGGGTAATTTTATTTCAGAATCTCCCCAAATTTATCGAAGATCACCATGCTGTTGTACCAAAATACATAAGTCCTCCAACACCTGAAGGTGTTTTACAGGCTCTTTCAAATGTGCAGACCCAAACCAACTTAGAAATGATAAAAGAATGGCCATTGGCAGAGAAGGATAAGCTCAGAAAGCTTGTCTCTGAAGCCTCAGCACATGACATAAAGTCACACAGGAAATTGCTTATGGAACTTCCAATCTTTATGTCGGTTGGTGGAACAGAATATTCTGATCCTCAAAGTTCTGGCAACAGAGTTTCTCTCCATGAAGCACCCTGGGTTTTACATCAAAGTCCAAGCTTTTCATTACGTTGGAAGTTTATCGAAGCATCAGGAACAGACTCTGAAATGCTAGTTCAGCAATTAGGAATGAGAATTTTGGACATGAATGACTTGCTAAGAGAAATTGTGTTAGCAGACATTGAGTGGTACCAGGAAAGCGGAGAGATTGATCTTTTGATGAAGCAGGTACTGACCATCAACATGAATGAAGATGAAGATATATATCAGAAGGTGAGAGGCATTCCTTTTGTTCCAAATGAATCAGGAGAGAGATTTACAGCAAGCCAATTGTTTGATCACCAGGATTCAGTTGTATTTGATCTCTTTCATGGGGTATGTGACATCTTTCCAACTGGACAGTATAAGGATGATCCACAATTACATGCAGCTCTGAAAAGGTTAGGATTGAAGACAGAAAGAGAACAAATAACAGCAGAGGACATTTACAAGGCAGCTGAGTATGTTCAAAACATGTCTGCTGAGGGATCGGCCATGCAAAACTTTTTGATTGATAAATCAGAAGCAATTATGACCATTTTGAGATCCAGACCAACTATATTAAAGCATAGCCTAGAAAATGGAAACACACTCTCAGGCAGTTTGAAAAGAACCAGGTTTATCAAGGTCAAGCCAAGGCCAGAGAATTATCCCAATTCTTTGCCTTGGTGTCCATCAGATTGCACCTTTTTAAGTCCAAGTGAGTTGTGCAGCAGTATCTATGAAAACATGATAGGTTCTGTGGAGCATGTCTCTGATGAGGTTGTGGATGAAGAGATCGCCAGGGAATTTGGATGGAATGAAAGGCCCACTTTGTCAAAAGTCATAGCCCAGTTAGAACAGGTAGTAAGCCATTACACAAGCAGAGAAAAGGGTCTATTTCTGCCAATGATTCTAGATATCTATGGAGAATTGTTTCATCCAGTTAGGGGGGATGTTCTCTACGTCAGCCTTAAATCCAGCTCACAGAAATGGATCTGGAATGGAGATGGGTTTTCCTCATCAAAAGATGTTGTCCCTGGTATTCCTCCGGAACTACAAGGGATTCAGCTGCACCCTCATTTGTTTGTCCTTCCAAGAGAAGTAGAGCAATTCAGCGAACAATTTTCCCAGTATGGTGTGGAATCAAAAGATAAACTTGAAATCATTCTGCAGGTGCAAAGCAATATCCAAATAAAATACCAACAAGAAAGGGTCCAGTCTCAGATAACCAACAGCAACGCTGCAGATCTTGATGCACAGAGAGATCTTCAGACCATTATTGATCTGTTGCACATTGTTGAGTCAATGGACCAGGTGACAATATCCCAACTGCAAAATGAGCTCTTAGTGCCTGTTCATAGTGACGACAAATCTACCCTCATCCTTAAGCTAGTCTCCCAGTGCACTTACTGTGATATGGATTGGCTGCAGCAAGGGCATGATGTCACTGATATTAGTGATGAAGAAACAGAATCTATCTTCTTTGTCCATGAGCATGTCTCAATGCAAACTAGTGAAAAGTTAGGTGTGCCAACTCTTATGAGTCGTATTTTAGATGTAGAAGAGTTGGACATGAACTATGGCCAGTCTGAGCCACTGACCTGTCGCCTTCACAATCTGCTTAAGGAAGGTTACACAGATGGGTTTTCTGTCCCAAAGGAACTTATTCAAAATGCTGATGATGCAGGAGCCCAAGAAGTGAAGTTTCTGTATGACCAGAGAAGAAATGAAGATGCTCAGACATGCTTGATAGATGAGGGAATGCGAAGTTGCCAAGGACCTGCTCTCTGGGCCTATAATGATGCTGTGTTCACAGAAGAAGATTTCAAAAACCTTGTTAAGCTGGGGGCTGCAACCAAAGAAAAGATGAGTGACAAAATTGGCAAATTTGGACTTGGGTTCAATGCAGTCTACAATCTAACTGATGTTCCAAGTTTCATTAGCAGTAACAGTATAGCCATCTTTGATCCGCATATGAAACACTTGGGAAGAGCAGCAAGATCAAAACCTGGAATTAAGATTAATTTAAAAAACAGAAAAAAGCTTCAGAAGTTGAAGAACCAATTCAAGCCTTTTAATGGGATTTTTGGCTGCAATCTTGATTCCACTGCCAAATCTTGCATATTTAGCTACAATGCAACATTATTTAGATTTCCTCTACGAACAAAGGAACAATCCTATAAAAGTGAGATCAGCGACGTGCATTATGATGAAAAACAAGTGCAATTGCTTCTTCAGAAATTGGTCGATTCATCTTCAGAAGTTCTACTTTTTACTCAAAATGTAAAGAAAATATCAATTTATCACCTCCCCAAGGATGGAACCCCATTAATGATGCAGTGTATCTATGAAACAACAAAGAACATCTCAAAAGTGATAAGAGGTTTGCATTTGCCAGAGGTTCAGCAAACACAAATTTTAAAAGCTTCAACCCAAGCCCTCCAATCAGCAGAATCAGCGCCATCAATTCCAATGCCCAAAGACACTAAAAATCAAACAGTGTCCCTTCTTCTTGAAATGTCCTCCAAAATGGATGCAGGTAGTGTGAGTATTATCAAAACTGAGGAGAAGAAAGATTTCTGGCTGGTTACGTCATGTATGGGAGACCTCACATCAAAGATGTTGACCATGTGCCAGGGATCTGGTCTTGTACCTACAGGTGGAGTGGCGGTGCAATTGAAGGAGTGCAGTGTTGAAGGCAGCATTAGATATACACCACTTTGTACTCAGAAGGGAACATTCTTTTGTTATCTCCCTCTTCCAATTTCCAGTGGATTCTCATTCCATGTCAACGGAAGTTTCTCTGTGGAGTCCAACCGCAAACATTTAACTGAGAAAACAATGGATGATAAAGTTTCAAAAGAAGCTGAATGGAACCAAATCATCTTGAAGGATGTCATTCCCAAAGCACTTCTTTTTTGTCTTGAAGACTTGAGAGAATTAACATGTGGTACACCTTACAGCTTTAGCGAATTGTGGCCAACCTGTGGGAGCACATATAAACCAGTATGTGAGCCTCTTGTGCAGCAGTATTATGCCTCCTTATTTTCCACAGAGGAACAGCAGGCGCCCGCTTTATTTTCAAATGGGAAAATGTGGGAAAATGTCCACAATGTTGGTATCCTCACAGATGATGTCAAGGGATCAAATATAGTGACCCATGCGGAAAGAATATTAGAAGATTATCTCCAGGAGAGGGGAAAAATATATGTAAAAGTTCCCAGTGAGACCATGAAAACCATGTTGTTATTTGCACCTGGAGAGATTCAAGGAAAGATCATGTTTGACCTTCACAGGTTATACAATGAAGCAGTTTTCCCAAGCATCAACACTCTTGATGGAGATGTCAGAGATACTTTGATACTTTATGCAATTGACCAAGATGATGAAGATCTCAATAAACTCTTGCAGAGATACCCATGCATTCCTTCCACACCTCATGGGGAGTTAAAGCAACCCTGTGCTCTCATGCACCCAAAAAGCAGAGCTGCCTCATTGTATTATGAGGAAGATGGGATTTTCATCAAAGGAACCGAAAGGTCATACCTGAACCCACGCCGCCTTCTGGTATTGGAAAAACTTGGCATCTTTGAAGACATCAGCTGTGGGCAGATTTTGGAGAGAGCCAAAAGTGTTGCTGGTCTCCATCAAACAGATAATGCAAGAGGAGTAGAGAGAGGGAAAGAAATATTGCAGTACCTAGCCTGGAGGCTGAGTGGAAAAGAAGGTAGTAAATTGGAAAGTGAACTCAGAGGCGTATTATGTGAAGTGCCATTTCTTCCAGTTAAGCCCAAACCAGACGGTTACCCACTTCCTTGGAAAGGCAATCACAACAATCTTGCTGCACCTAAAGAATGCTTTTCAGCAGATGTGGAAAATTTGGTGTCTTCTACCACTGCTGTTGTCGACAGAAGGGAATTGAAAATGAATAGAAGTGTGGAGAGGTTGCTCCAAATACAGTCTCGAAAAGATGTTGAACTTGATCAGGTATGGGACCAGTTTGATGAGGCCATCGCAGCTGCCCCAAAGTGTGGAAAGTTTGAAAAGAAGCTGAAAGATCTAATTAGGGACATTTATCAGTATCTGAATGATTTACTGCGAAGGGAACCTGCAAAACAGTCCGCTATCAGTAATGCACTGCAAAAGAGAAATGCAGTGTACATTCCGCAGTCACAAGAGTTTGTCTCAGGTAGTAAAGTTATATTCAACTCCAAGGGTGGATTTGAGCCACTTCTTTTTGGGCATCCTTATGACTGGAGAGACTTCCCTGATGTCATGGAAGCTGCTGGTGTTCGAGAAGACTTTGATATTGCAGATTATATAAAGGCCCTACAGAAACCACATCAAACATACAGCAAAAAATCACTGCCATTATACATACGTCAAATTGTGTCTGCATTACAGCAGAATATTGAGGATGAGGTAAAAAAGGAGAAAGTACCCCTCACAACAAAGCTGAAATCAATTGAAGATAAAAATGGGCCCATTTATTTACCAGATGAAGATGGAGTGATGTCTGAAGCAAAGCATCTTTGTTTTGATGATTGCCCATGGCTTGAGAATGATGATGATGACATGCATTGTGCACACAAAGATTTACCATATCATGATGCTATAGGCCTTGGTGTTCAGACGAAAAGAGGTGAAAAGCTTAGAAAATGTTCAATGGGAATACCCTTTGGTCAGAAGGAAAAACTTACAAATAGAATCAAGAGAATACTAGAAGGATACCCCTGTGACCAGGATATCCTGAAAGAGCTCCTGCAAAATGCAGATGATGCAAAGGCAACTGAAGTTCACTTTGTTTTAGATCCCAGAAACCATTCCACCAAGCTTATATTTGAGGATTGTTGGAAGCCATTGCAGGGACCAGCTTTGTGCGTTTACAACAATAGTCCATTTACTCAAGCAGACATAGAGGGTATAAGCAACTTAGGTGAGGGAAGCAAGAGTGAAGATCCAAACAAAACAGGGCAGTATGGGGTCGGTTTCAATGCTGTATATCATCTCACAGATGCCCCATCTTTCTTAACCAAAGGACAGGAAATTGGAGAAACATTGTGTATCTTTGATCCACATTGTATTTATGTGCCAGGTGCTTCTATTGCAGAGCCTGGAAGGTGTTATAATGACATTCCAAAGTTGAGGAAGGCTTTCCCAGATGTATTTGCAAGCTACTTGGATGACATGAAAGAATCTTTTCCAATGGAGGAAGCTACCTTGTTCCGATTGCCACTCAGGAATGAAAACATGGCCAGACAGTCTAAGATAAAACCAAGACCTGTTACCATTCCAGAAATGCAGTCCCTCATGGAAACATTTAGGGGTGATTTATTTCTGATGATGCTGTTTCTCAATAACATAAGGAAAATAAGTGTCTCAGAAATAAACATGTTCACTGGAAAGCTGCAGAACACATACAGTGTTGAGGCCCATCTCAGTGCTGAAGATACACAGGAGCAACAGTCCTTTCTACAGGAAGTGGTGAACAGCTCAGAGAGACTGAAAACACAAGAACTTACAGTGGACCAGTTACGTCCCATAAATGTTTCTTTCACCATGTCCTTAAAAGACAACAAAGGCCGATTAGAAACATGGCTTATCACCCAACAGTTTGGCTTTAGCAATCCAAGCTCAATACCTACAACTTTAAAGAAAGCCCTCCAGGACAGAGAGTTGGGGCTTCTGCCACGTGGAGGGGTAGCACATATGCTTCAAGCTGACAGATTACCGATGGAGAAATTTAGCCTCAAAAAAAGCAGGGTATTTTGCTTCCTGCCGCTCCCACTGAAAACAAACCTACCTGTTCATATCAATGGTCACTTTGCACTGGATCATGAAGCCAGGAGAAACCTTTGGATGAACACTGAAAATACTGATGTGAAAACTGAGTGGAACAACACATTAATAGAGCAAACAATTGCCCCTTGCTACACCAATATGCTTCAGCAAAAAAAGAATATTATTATGGAAGAGATCTCTGGAAGTGATGAGACCCAGATAAGAAAATTTTTGAGCCAGTATTGTCAGCTCTTTCCTCATATCCAGCATCAGGAGAATTACATACATTATCTGTCTAAAAAGGTATACCAGTTGACCAGCGAACTTAATCTGAGGGTTCTTCCACTTTTGCGACATGCAAGACTGAGTGAGACGGGATTTAAAGTTGCATGGTTTACACCTACAGAGGGAGTATTCTTTGATGACTTAGATACCCAGATTCAGGAACCAGGGTCAAGCTTCAAAGAACCATCCTCCAGAGAGATTGTTAGAAGGATTTTATGTGAAAGCAATTTCAATCTTTTATGTTGCCCAATGTCAATATATACAAATTATCGGGAAGCAGACATCCAGGTGAAAACTGTTAGTCCAGAAGCTGTGCTTTGTTTCTTTCAAACCTACCAAAGACCTGACAGGCTGTGTTTTATTTCATGCTCAGATCTTCCTGAAGACATTGGAAAAACCATCTTTGGAAATGTAGACGACCTTGGCACTATGTTACAGTTTTGCAAGAAATCTGGCAATTTTGTGCAGCTACTTGAGGGTTGTCCATTGCTTGTAACTGAGGACAACAAGCTGAGGATGTTTAGTTCCAGAACACCCGTCTTCTGTTCACCTTTCTGGGACTTGCTGCCTTCATATGCTGCATCTTTTTGCCATAGGTTCTTGGAACGTACATTTTTTTGTACATACCAAGAAAGGTCAATTTTCAAAAAATTCAAGGTATCAGATCTTGCAGAAAGGCTACCATTTGTCTTACCAGAAGTGCTACAAAATGGAGGTGTAATCCATTGGGATTTGAAGACTCCGTCAAAAGAGTGGATCCAATTACTGTGGACATACCTTCACTCGGAAGTTGGTGCAGTTTCTGACGGCAACAAAATTATATCTTTATTGAAGCCACTTTCCCATTGGTGCCTCTTGCCAGTAACTGTAGGGCAATCAACATGTTTGCTTCAGGTTTCACGAACCCGTGAAGTTATGGACAACCGGGATTTCATCTTCAGAAGCGGGATTTTTCATGTCTTACAAAAGTTGGGTGTTCCACAGCTAGCCTATGATATACTACAACAACATTCTGAAAAGACTGCACGGGCAATAATTAGCAACCCTAGCGATCCGTGTTCCATGGTCATCGCATTAGAAGGAGTAGCCAAACGACACAACCTAGCAGACAGACTAAATGTGCAGAAATGTGAGGTTGTATTAAGATATTTTTGTCAGTATCTTGATGTGCTGAAAAGCAATCCTGAATTGAAATGGAAATTGTGCAGTTTTCCTTTTTTCTTATCTGCAAAAGAGGAGATTGTCAGCATTGAAGGAAAAGATACTTACATTGCACCGAGCTCTATCCCTTTAGATGGCATGCAGCTATTGGAAGGAGGTGATCAACATTTGGCCTTCTTGAAACCCAATGTAATGTTACAGCCACTCTACACATGGCTGGGTTGTCGAGTACTCTCTGAGTGTGAAATGTACTGTGATTTCATATTACCAATTTTTGAAATTCTCTCAGAGGAAGAAAGGATTAAGCACTTAAAGTTCATATCAGTCGAATTACACTATAGAAGTCTTCAAGGTGATTGGAAGAGACTGATTGATAAACTTTCTCACGTGAAGTTCCTACCTGATAGCCGGAGTGGAATTCCTGGCACCCTGTCAACTGCATCGGCTTTTTATGATCCTTACAATGAAGTTTTTAAAGCTATGCTTACAGAAGAAGATTTTCCATCAGAGCCTTTTAGATCTCTAGCAATTTTGTGTTTGATGCGTGAGATAGGTTTACAGCAACAAGTCACTTCAGAGAAGTTCATTGAATTTGCCAAAGCCATTGAAAGGGGGGCTATTTTAGCATGGAAAAGTAGAAATAAGACGGCACTCCAAAAGAGAGAAAATCAGGCACGTGTAGTAGTTACACATCTTTTATCAAGGGAGAATGTATTTAATGATGGTCACTTATTGCGCATTATAAAAGATATGGCCTTTCTACCCCAACGTGTTGCTTCAAGCAACCTTCAGAGTCTGTGCCCTTGTGGCAATATGGATGGAGAAACATTGAGGCCTTTCATCTGCTTCAATGGTGCTGTCTTATACAAGCAGGAACATGAACATTTGTCATGGACAAGTGTATCATTCTTGGAACAGTGGGCAGAACCAAGGGACAGAAAATTGTGTGAAATACTTGGAGTGAAAGAAATCCCCTCTTTGGAACAGGTGATAGACCACTGTTGCAATGTGTGCCATAATTTGGAAGAGAGAGTTGAACTTTTAACAGCAGAACAATCTGAATTACTCTCTGAAATAATGGGGCAAATATATCAGCACTTGGAAAGATATCAAGACAAAGAACATCCATATTGGACTCATCAGCTGCAACACTTGGCCTGCGTTTTAGTAGATCTTGAGGATGGAAAGAGGTTTGTTTATCCGAGTCAAGTTGCTACCTCGTGTGTGGAAGAAGAAGAAGAAATAAAGCCTTATCTTTTTGCTGTGCCTTCACATTTCACAAGGTGTAAAGAGCTCTTCAAGCTGATAGGCAGCACAGATAGACCTTCCTGCTGTCAGTATGCCACTGTCTTGGAAATGATTCATAAAGATACTGAAGGGAAGAAACTGGAACCAAATGAAAAGAAAAAAGTTTTGAAAGCAATGGGGTTTTTGTTTAAAAAGCTTCGCAGTGGGGAGGAATGGCCAGAGCAGGTAAAACTGTTATACTTGCTCACTTCAGCTGGGGAACTGAGGCAATCCAAGGACATTATCTTTATTGATAACATGTCCCATTTTGACCGACTACAGAAATTTCCATTGGAAGAACCCATGCTTGCTCGTCCTTCTAAGGAAGAAATTGGACCCGATGTCCCATCGTACAGCGATGTTGCTGAATTTTTGCCAGAATGTTTGCGCCTTAGATATCTGACTGATGTTGTTAAAGAGAAACTTCACTCTGAACCAAGTATCAACATTCTTCAAGAGCATCCTGTGAAATGGAAGATAAAATCAGATTTTTTTTATCAGGCAGTGATGCGTCTCTTTCGTCATGCTGGTAAAACCCAAGGCTTCACTGTCAGTCAGCAGGATAGTGCTGAGCTACAAGAAAACATTAAAAACATCAAACTTCACTTTGCAACAGAACTGACCACTGTTTTAGAATACAAGGGAGAGGTTTTGTCTGGAAGTGAGAGAACACAGTCATGCTTCTATCAAAAAGCCCATTGTGGACAACAGTCACATTGTTTTTATTTAAAAAGCAATTTTCAAATGAGCAACTTTTCACTCAGGTTTGTCGAAATCTTGAACAGTTTATCTAAAGGGAGGCTGTCAACTTTCCTCCATCACCTGTGCAGCATCCTAGATGAAAAAGTTGCTTTACAAGAGATTTCGAGATGTTTGGATGATCAGGGCATTCCCCCAGATGATTACTGCTCAGATACCAGTGTTCTCCCCATCCCTGGGACTTACCTTCACATAGAAGACCAGCATCTGCTTTCTGAGAATTTTCACCACTTTGAATGCGGTGAATACGTAGGCTATGAAGTAGAGGATCCATTGTTGAAGAGTCGTGAGGGTCTTCCAACATACATATATGCCATTGTCCTAGAAGAGATCAAGGAAGATGTTGACTCTCAAACCTCAGATGTGCTAAGAAGATACAAAATAAGAATTGGGAGTGAAGAAGAGGATGTCTTTGTTGTGACGGCAAATGACTTGTACAAATTTAAACGCACACCAAAAGATGACTCAAAGGATGTTGTTCTTTATGATAAAACTCCAACTGAGGATGACTTCACTCCAACATGTCTGGAGGACATTAAGGAAGATATCACAAAAACACTGTAGGCTGCGTGGAAACTTGATGAAAATGAGAGGAAAAAAGTCATCAAGAGACTCCTCCGAAAATATCACCCAGACAAAAACCTTGGCCAAGAAGATATTTGCAATGAAGCATGCAAATTCATACAGACTGAAATAGCTAGACTTGAACGAGGTTCGCAAGAAACGTCTTCATCCTCAACTGAGACAACTGCTGCATCTTCTGGTCCTATATGGTCACATAGTACACGTAGTACTGGTAGGTCATATTCTACTCATGGTACTGGTACCCAGTCACACACTACATATGAAGATGTATTTGAGCAATTTTTCACCAGAATGGGGCAACGTGCCAGACAGGAGAGAGAATGCCATGACAGGTATTATTCCAGCGGGAGTCATGGTAGTGACAGCAGGACGTATGGTGGATTCTGGGAAACTCGTAAGAATCCCCAACCCTACAAGGCTTCCAGATGGTTCCGCCAGGCCCAGTGGGATTTCAAAGCAGTCTCCAATGACACCAGAGAGCCATTCCAGAGCTATGAGTGGGCTTGCTTCAAATGCCATCAGGTTAGATATAATGCTGGTTCAATCTTGGTTCAGTTTCATTAGATCATTATAATATATATGTAATACCTACATTGCAGTTTCATTTTTTAAACTGAATTAAATTTGATACGATATATTATTAGATTTCATAAGTTCCTTTAATTTTTGAGTGTAATCCCAATTTTTCAAAAATTCTGTCAATCTACTCACTTCTTGTTTATGATCTGTCAATCTACTCATTTTCTACAGTTAAAACTAAACAGTATTTACAATTTTTTAAAATTAAAACATTATAAATATACAATTAGTTTATCTATATCACATATGTATATTACAATTTTAGTCAGCAGAAAAAGCACTGAAGGCTGCACAGTTTGCCATCGATGCCAATCTGAAAAACAACAGTCACGACCTGCCTATAATGGCTGACACTCTTAACCTTGCAGACAATTGCTCAACTATTTCACAGCGGTCCAGACGACTCCAGTCCCTGCTTACACATTCCACTGCCATGCGCTATCCAGACAGGTGTCATGGTCTACCACATGAGGTCTACAACATGGACACAGCAACAAAAGCTGTGGACATCACCAGCCAACTGCTGACTGAGATCAAGACATTGTTGACAGAGAAAGGCGTGCCAATGGACAGAACAATGTAAATTTCTTCTCTTTTTATGTTACTAATCAATGCAAATTTCTTTTACTTTGAGAACATTTGCTTTGCAGGATATTTTACTGTCAAGTTACAGGATTGCTTCAACATGATGAACATGGGTGTGTTGAGAATTATTGTCTTGGGGGAAAATGAAACTAATTTTGAATTGTGTACTTTGGATAGGTTTCATATTGCGCTACAGGTATATATACAGAACAATTCCTATGACAGAAACATTTTTTTCTTTATTGAAAAGATGGATAAAAACATCTTCATTGTAAATAAAAATTTTGCTCTTTGGTTTTATTGCCATATGCATGTTTTAGTATATATACTGAAAAAATGTAAAAAGATTTTTCTTGGAGTTTGAAGTGAACCTTAGATTGTATATACAGTGTAAAACAGAGTGAACATACATGTTTAGGTAATCCATGAAAAACATTGTGTATTTTGGATAGGTTTCAAATTGGACTATAGGTATATATACAGGAATTTTTTTTCTTTATTGAAAAGTTGGATTAAAACATCTTCATTGTAAATTACATTTAATTTTCTTTTTGCTTTTAATGCCAAATACATGTTTTAGCATACTGAAAAAATGTATATCGATTTTTATTGGAGTTTGAAGTGAGTCTTAGTTTGTATATATACAGTTTAAAAAAGAGTAAACATACATGTAGTTGTAGTCTTAGGTATCTTTTTGCTGATAAGGTGGCAATTTAAGTGATATAAAATATTTGTACATACATACATTCATGGTGTATATATATAATATGCTTTTTGAACTTTTTATTACTGTTGTATACTGTATATATATAGGCTGGGTACAGTATATTTCCACTTTGCATCAGTCACATCTGAAACCAGACCAGGTGATGTACAGAGCAGTAAAAGAACAATGCCATTAGAAGACAATATGCATGTTATTATTTTTTTATTCAGAATTTGTTTCTAAATAATTTTTCCTTTTTTCAATTTTGAAATTCATCAAAGTTCTAGAAACCACATTATATTGTAGAGGAAAGTCAGTTAACAAACTTTTGAAAGAAAGCATGACAGTTGGCATTTGTATGTAGATTGATTTCTTTTGATACATTTTATCACAGAATTTTGCCACTGTTATGAGAAAAGAAATTTGATGTGCATATTCATGCAAACAATATAATATGCAGGTATTTTGCTGGTAGCTAGTAGAAAATGTAAGCTGTGAAATATTAGAAAATTTAGATAAATTGCAGCAAATGTGCTTTGCAGGGATATGAAGAGGTATCCTTGCAGATCAATGTGCATGCATTTTTTAATTTAGAAAAATCAAGTAATTGTGTCTATTTCTTATGCTGTTAATATATGCTGCTAGTTTTACATCAATTACAGGAAAATGCGATGAAAAAATTTCTAGAGTATATGGTAATGCTTAATAATGTATAGTTACTTAAATAAGCATTATTTGTTTCAATATATTGCTTAAGAGTAAGCAGGCTCTATGGCAATTAAGTAAGATTTGAAATGTAAGACTTCCATCGATTGCAGTGAGCACCCTCTGCAAATACAAACACCAGCGTAACACATGCACGTTATGCAAAGTGACAATTTTTCATAGAACATAGTTCATTGTTTTAAAAATGAAATGTGGTAACTTGACTGGAACTGATTAAGGCTGTAGTTTAAAAGGATTTTGGTTGTTGTTCCCTACAAATCTAAAACGAATTTTTAAATTATAGAGGGATCACATTTAAGATTATAATGCAGTGTATGGCAGATGCTGATGTTAGAAGAATGTGTATATAATAAGTGAACCACATTCTTCTAACATCAGCATCTGTATATATAAAAAATAAGATATGTATAATTTCAGTTAGTAAGCATGCTAGTAAGCAGTATGCGAGGGTAGGGAATACCTTTTGCATTCTGTGTGATTGGACTTATTTTTTCAGTGTGATAAGTTATTTGAGCCCAATATTATGTGTGGTATAAGATTCAAGAATTTTTGGTGATTGGTGATTGGCCTGAATATATCTTGGTGATTGGTGATTGAGCTATTTTAATCTTGGTGATTGGTGTTTAATGGGGGGGGGGGGGGGGGTTATTCCCTGTATACCCTCGTATGCCACCTGTTCTATAATCAGAATTATTACAGATAACTAGGTGGGTAGTGCCAAGTATACAGTGGAGTTGGAGTTTTTATTATTATTATTATTATTATTATTATTATTATTATTATTTTTTTTTTTTTGAGGGGGTGGTTTGCAGCTGGTTTGCAGGATTTACTTCTTATTATTGTTATAAAGGGACAATATAAGTTATTAACCTACAATGTACTGTAGTAGCTATAGGGTCCAAAATGAGCATTCTTGCTATTTCATTTAAATTTAAGATAATATTTTAGTTAGATTGGATTTTTTGAAGGATTGGGGGAAGTGAGGTACATGTACCATATATAATTACATGTAAGTTTGTTTTTTGGAAGGATTGGGGGAAGTGAGATACATATACCATATATAATTACATGTAAGTTTGTTTTTTGGAAGGATTGGGGGAAGTGAGGTACATGTACCATATATAATTACATGTAAGTTTGTTTTTTGGGAGGATTGGGAGAAGTGAAGTACATGTACCATACATAATTACATGTAAGTTTGTTTTTGGAAGGATTGGGGGAAGTGAGGTACATGTACTATATATAATTACATGTAAGTNGTGAGATACATATACCATATATAATTACATGTAAGTTTGTTTTTTGGAAGGATTGGGGGAAGTGAGGTACATGTACCATATATAATTACATGTAAGTTTGTTTTTTGGGAGGATTGGGAGAAGTGAAGTACATGTACCATACATAATTACATGTAAGTTTGTTTTTGGAAGGATTGGGGGAAGTGAGGTACATGTACCATATATAATTACATGTAAGTTTGTTTTTTGGAAGGATTAGGGGAAGTGAGATACATGTACTATATATAATTACATGTAAGTTTGTTTTTTGGAAGGATTAGGGGAAGTGAGGTACATGTACCATATATAATTACATGTAAGTTTGTTTTTTGGAAGGATTAGGGGAAGTGAGATACATGTACTATATATAATTACATGTAAGTTTGTTTTTTGGAAGGATTAGGGGAAGTGAGATACATGTACCATATATAATTACATGTAAGTTTGTTTTTCCCTAATTAATTGAGTGCACATATAATGTATCTTTTTATTCTAGTATATAATTTTGGTTTTAGGTCATGTATAGTGTAAGATTTTACATACAAACAAAAAATAAAGCTATGTAGACATTTAGCTGGGAACATGAAAATATTGGCATAGGGAATCATTTGAGTTTATAATTAGACCATGATATCTTGTACCTATCACACTGTACTGTATCTGGTCCAAGATAATGTCAAAGGATCAGCTAAGTCTGCCCTAGCTTGTGTGTATTCTGGGTGCTTAAACTGCAGCTATTTAGGGGGAAGCTGGGGGAGGGGGAAGGGCAGCCCTGGCTATTATCGTAGTATGTATGTAGGCATAGGGGAGGAAATTGCTTGTTTTGATGTTGGTTGGTTTGGATTATTTTGCGCTCATTAGACCTATTTGTGTGTGTGTGTGTGTGTGTGTGGGGGGGGGGGGGTTGCTTATTTAATCACATATCACAAAGTGGATTCAGTTTTGTTTTCCATGTGTGCTGAAAATGTCTTAGTTGTGCCTTTGATGGTAAGTTTATTACTGTAACACCTGAAATTATTTGGGGCCCCTTCCAAAATTAGAAAAGGGGGAAAACTGTCAAATTCAGATATTGCTTGAAGACCATATGTCTTGAACTTTGCAAGTCCAGTAAATTTTTTTTTTGCACATGATAAAATGATGTCTAATAATTATGTATAATATGTTAACTTTATTTATCTGTCATTTTAATATTGACTGTCAGTTACTATATTATATACAATTAGGGTTAACTGCAGCATTATCAACATGTAGAATAGCATCTCCACTCATCTGATTTTAATGAATGATTTTCTTTGGCTTGATGGATTAAAGAGATCAAAAGGTATTTTGTCACAAACTAGCAAAGTCCCCAAATCTAGAGGCATGTTCAATACTACTCATATTTGGGAAGAAACACAAAGAATGCTAAGGAAAAGGAATTAAGATTGCTATAGCATTTAAACTACACTGAACTCTCAGATGGATATGAGATTGATGCACTCCCCCTACAACTTTGTGATGCCCTGTCAGTACTGCAGCACTTTACAACACTGCTTGAGTCACACTGAAATTGATTAGGATTAGGATAAACAACTGAAAATAATAAAAGTCATTATGATAATAAGACTTTAGAATTTGATTCTGTTTGATATAACATATTTGTACATACAAACATTAATGGTGTAGAATTTGGATAATATGCTTTTTGAACTTTTCTTTTTATTACTGTTGTATACTAAAACACTATTGTGTAAAGTGACAACCTTTCAAAGAACATTGTCTTGGATGGTACAATGTAAGTTTATTACTGTAACACCTGAAATCATTTAGCTCCCCCTTCCCAAATTACTAAAGGAAGAAAAACGGTCAAATCCAGATATTGCTTGAAGACCATATGTCTTGCACTTTGCAAGTCCAGTAAACTTTTGTCTTGCACATGATAAAACGATCTCTAATTATTCTTAATAATACGTTAACTTTAACCGGGGGGGGGGGGGGGGGAATGGG